AGGTATGGATGGCTACAGGGGAGGAAGAACAGTGGGTAGGTAGGTGAGGGGGACTTTTGAGACGTCTCAAAAGTCGTCTACTTACACACGTAGGTAGGTGAGGGGGACTTTCTGGAATCTCTTCAGTGGTTCGAACAAACGTGTGGCAGTGGATTAGCATGATGCTTGATGCTGCAGGGCTTAGAAAGGTATGCGTGGCTACAGGGGAGGAAGGACAGTGGTCTAGGGAGTTTCGGGGATTTCAAAAGTGTTTTGAATGCAAGTATGATAACGGTGTGGATGGGTATGATGTTGCCCGCTGTATGGCCCAGAAAGGTATCGCATTGAGTCGGTTCAGATCATCTAAGCTTATTAGGGGGGTGGGGTTGGGGGAAGGAGGAGGGGGAGGGGGGAAGGGGGGGAGGGGAGAGGGAGAGAAAAGACAGCCCTGCTGAGGATGGCATGGTGGGCGTGCTGACGTCATGGTTTGCTTGCTGGCGTTCCGTTGCTGCTGCGAGAGGGGAAGGACAATCCACGAGTTTTCTGGCCGAATTGATTTACCAGCAACGGCTGAATTGATTTACCCAGTAACAACTCCTCACGATCCATGAGGTGGTGATGGTAAGGCATGCGGATGAAGGAGCAGGAGGGTGAAGAAACGCCTCTTTCAACTCCTCTCAACCACTGTCACACACCCCACAACACTCCTATCAGGTGATGGCCGGCTGCTGGTGGTGGAGGGGTGATGTCCCACGAAGCACTCTTGCCTCTCTAGAACCTGCTCAACCCCTTTCAACCTCTTTCAATCACATTGATTTATTGTGGACACCACACAACAAGCTGATCAGGTGGTGCTCACGAGCACTGAGGTAAATGGCCAGCTGGTGGTGGTGGAGGGGAGTGTGCCTTGATAAGTAGCGCATCTCTCAAGCCCACTCCACTGCATTCAACCACTTTCAACCGCTCTCATCTACTGGTGATCATTAGCAACGCTCCCAGCTGGTGATGGCGGAGGGGATTGGTTTTGCATGGGCAAGGCCCTCTCTTAAACCTGCTCCATCCCTTTCAACCGCTTTCAACCACTCCGTTCAGGTGGTGATCACAAGCATGGAGGTGGATGGGCGGCTGCTGGTAGTGGGGAGTGACGCCAGCAGCCCTGCTGGAGAGGAGGTGAGTGAGGTGAGGCGGCATGAGGGTATCTGTCTGGTGGTGGAGGTGTGCTTTGAGTCACCAGGTGTCCAACCACTCAATCACATCTGCTTGGCGTGACGCCAGCAGCCATGCTGCAGAGCAGGTGAGTGAGAAGGCATGGGGAGCTGGTGGTAGGTGAGAGGAAGTGAGTGAGAGGAAATGAGTGAGAGGCAGTGAGTGAGAGGAAATGAGTGAGAGGAAGTGAGTGAGAGGAAATGAGTGAGAGGAAGTGAGTGAGAGGAAATGAGTGAGAGGAAGTGAGTGAGAGGAAATGAGTGAGAGGAAGTGAGTGAGAGGAAATGAGTGAGAGGAGGTGAGTGAGAGGAAATGAGTGAGAGGAGGTGAGTGAGAGGAAATGAGTGAGAGGAGGTGAGTGAGAGGAAGAGGAGTGTCTTTCTGGTAGTTGGGGTGCGTTTCGAGTCGACTCAGAGAAGTGGTGCCAGCAGCCCTGCTGCAGAGCAGGAGAGAGATATGGGCCCCCTTGTCTTGACAATGGAAAGCAGATATCTGTTTTGCTTCAATTTCTTTCTATCACTCATTATCCTCTTTGTTTGCACCAGCCATTGCCACCCTCACATACACTACCCTATCTTACTCCCTTTCCAATTCTGACATTCTGGCCGGCATTTGAACAAACACTCTATTCAGGAGGGCTCTGAACAGCGTTCTTTGCAGCGGTTCTGCATCGCAGTGCCCAAGATACCACACTACTTTACTGTATGGCGCTCCATTAATAGCTTTGAAGCAGCACGTGGCACATGGTTATGCAATCTGTCTCACACTTTCTGTGCCTCTTACCATGTCCCGTGTCCCACACAGCACCAGCTTTACAACATCACATATCACCAGCCTTACAACATCACATATCACCAGCCTTACATCATCACATATCACCAGCCTTACATCATCACACATCACCAGCCTTACAACATCACATATCACCAGCCTTACATCATCACATATCACCAGCCTTACATCATCACATATCACCAGCCTTACATCATCACATATCACCAGCCTTACATCATCACATATCACCAGCCTTACATCATCACACATCACGCATCACCAGCCTCACAACATGCCATTTTCACATGGATTTCGACGTGCTACTCCGCATGCCATTGCATATACCACACCAAATGCCATCTGACATACCATATCACATGCCATTGCATATACCACACCACATGCCATTTGACATACTACCATGTCACATGCCTGACATATCCCATCCAACGTACCATACCACATGCCATCCCACGTGAACGGCACACGTGCAGGGAACGGGAGATTTGATGACCGCATTGCTGCTTGGATGGTCACATGTGAGTGGGGCAGTGGCATGTGAGTGGGGCAGTGGCATGGCAGGAGTCTCATTGCATCGCAATCCTTCATCAGTCTTCTGGTGACATCTCTCAGCTCTGTTACACAGCACTCTGGTGCTTACATAGCACTCTGATGCTTACATAGCACTCTACTGCTTACACAGCACTCTGCTGCTTACACAGCACTCTGCTGCTTACATAGCACTCTGCTGCTTACACAGCACTCTGCTGCTTACATAGCACTCTGCTGCTTACACAGCACTCTGCTGCTTACACAGCACTCTGCTGCTTACATAGCACTCTGCTGCTCACATAGCACTCTGCTGCTTACATAGCACTCTGCTGCTCACATAGCACTCTGCTGCTTACATAGCACTCTGCTGCTGACATAGCACTCTGCTGCTTACACAGCACTCTGCTGCTTACATAGCACTCTGCTGCTTACAGAGCACTCTGCTGCTTACATAGCACTCTGCTGCTTACACAGCACTCTGCTGCTTACACAGCACTCTGCTGCTTACACAGCACTCTGCTGCTTACATAGCACTCTGCTGCTTACACAGCACTCTGCTGCTTACATAGCACTCTGCTGCTTACACAGCACTCTGCTGCTTACAGAGCACTCTGCTGCTCACATAGCACTCTGCTGCTTACATAGCACTCTGCTGCTTACATAGCACTCTGCTGCTTGCATAGCACTCTGCTGCTTACATAGCACTCTGCTGCTTACATAGCACTCTGCTGCTTACACAGCACTCTGCTGCTTACACAGCACTCTGCTGCTTACATAGCACTCTGCTGCTTACATAGCACTCTGCTGCTTACATAGCACTCTGCTGCTTACATAGCACTCTGCTGCTTACACAGCACTCTGCTGCTTACATAGCACTCTGCTGCTTACAGAGCACTCTGCTGCTTACACAGCACTCTGCTGCTTACATAGCACTCTGCTGCTTACATAGCACTCTGCTGCTTACATAGCACTCTGCTGCTTACATAGCACTCTGCTGCTTACATAGCACTCTGCTGCTTACATATCACTCTGCTGCTTACACAGCACTCTGCTGCTTACAGAGCACTCTGCTGCTCACATAGCACTCTGCTGCTTACATAGCACTCTGCTGCTTACATAGCACTCTGCTGCTTACATAGCACTCTGCTGCTTACATCGCCCTCTACTAGTTAAAACCCACTCTGCTGTTCATTCTTCCTGCTCTACCCATCCCATCCTCTCCCTCCCTCTCTCCCTCCCTCCCTCCCTCCCTCCCTCCCTCCCTCCTCCCTTCCTCCCTCCTTCAACAGAAGTATCCGCACGACTTGGCTAGAGCAGCGGAACTAGCAGTGGCATCTCTGCAGGTGAGCAGCTGCTGTTGCGCCTAGTGCCACTGCTTGATGCTGCTCTGCTGTGGTTTTTACACTCGTTTAGCTGTTCTGTTGCAGCAGCAGAGGTGGCAGTGGCATTGTTACAGGAGGTGAGCACCTGCTGCTGGTCCTGATGCAATTGGGTGTTGCCGCTGGGCTGTCCATGGCTTTGAGGCAAGCTATATCAGCAGAGTTGGCATTGGCAACCCGTGGCATTGCAACCTTCCTGACCTGATTGCTCCTCTCCTCCCATTCTTTCTCCCTACAGGCTGTGCTCGCACGAACCCTGCAGCACCACTCTCCACCTCCGGACGGCACCGTTTCCTCTCTCACTCCCCCCACCCCCAAGCGCCTGGAGCTCTGCCTCATTCAGAGCCGCGATAACTTCAGCTTCTCCTCTCCCCCTCTCCCTCCCTGCAGGCTGTGCTCGCACGAACCTTGCAGCACCGCTCTCCACCTCTGGACGGCACCGAGTCCTCTCCCACTCCCCCCACTCCCAAGCGCCTGGAGCTCTGCCTCGTTCAGAGCCGTGACGACATTATAAGCCCGCCTGTTGTGTTACGTGCACAAGCGGTTGAAAGCGGTGTAGATGGTTTAGATGGATTGCAAGATGGTGAAAGTGCCTTGGTGAGCGGTGACAGTGTAGGGGTGCTGCAGGATAAGGGAGTTGATGCTCAGCTGACAACTGAGAGCTGAGTTGAATGTACTGTAAAAAGAGAACGCTCAACTGTTTTTGGCCGGGTGAGGCACTTTCCTGAGCACAATTAACACCAAGAAAAGGACCAGGCGGAAATCGAACCAACAAGGTGTTGCACATCAGTATTTGAATGAGAGAGTTATGCTATTGGTCCTGTGTTGAATGGAATTTGTTGTGTATTATTGTATTTGACAACGACGTGATTTTCAAGGTTGGACGTACTGAGCTCTCTTGTCAAGCATCATGGAGGACGCAGAGCCGCTGCGCGCGCTCTCCGCCCACATCGCGTAAAAACGGACCAGGCGGGTATCGCCCTTACTTAGTTTCCCTCAGCTTTCCGCTCTATCGCCGCGTTCCTTCCGTCCCTAGTCCCTCCCCGCGCTGCGCGCGCTCTCCGTCCACAGCGCGTGACGCGGACCGTACTTGTCTCCCGCCGAGTAGCCATGCAGGACGCAGAGGCGCGCCGCTCTCGCCTGCGCAGCATGCGCGAGTCCGCGGCGAAGCAGCAGGCGGCGTCCCCCGGCGCGCCCACGCCTTCCACCGCCATCTCCGCACTCCCCTCCCCCGACTTCTCTCCGCCGCTTATCCGCACGCATCCGCGCGTGCGCCATCCGGGGAAGGCGGACCTGGGGGAGGTAGATCTGCTAGACGGCCAGCAGGAGCAGCCACCACAGGCTCGGGGAATTTCTCACAGGCCTCATGTAAATATCTTCAAAGCTCTAGCGTGTTTGTCTTAAAGCCCTATCATTCTCAGCTTCCGAGGTACCTGATCTACCCTACTCCCCAGCACCACGAGTGTCAAGTGCTGCCGTTTATGACTCCCAAGGGGCCGGGCAGGGGGCAGGGCAAGGGGTAGGGCAAGGGGCAGGGCAAGGGACAGGGCAAGGGGGAGAGCAAGGGGGAGAACAAGGGGCAGAGGGGTCAGGGGAGGGGAGACCGGCCAGCGTGGACAGACAGTCAGTGAGGCAAGCGGTTGCGAGGGAGGGAGCCGTGCAAGAGGAAGTTTTTGACAATCTTTCCATGGTGCAGGTGAGCGGGGCGAAGAGAGAGAGAAGACAGGGGGGGGGGGTCTATTGTGCAGGTGTTTGTGAGAGGGGCGATTGAGAGGCGTCCGCACAAGAGGGAGTCGGCGACGTTCCTTACAAGGAGTAGGTGGGAAAGAAGCATATGAGATATGTGACAAACATCCGCTCTTGCCTGACAAGGACCTCATGTTAGGGAGCTGGTGGCGTTCATTACCAGGACCGTAATGAAGCATCTGAGATATGTGACAAACATCCGCTCTTGTGCTACTTAGGACCGTACTTCAAGGACCTTATATTTCTTCATTTGCTTACGATCCCTCTTGTTTCTTCCCGCCCCATATTTCTTCATTTTCCACCCTCTGCTTACACTTCCTCTATTGCTCGCCAACGCTCACATTCCATCCAGTTGTTCTCGAATCCACACCCAGGCATTCATGACTGCATCTCTCGCTTTCCCTCGTTTCTCCCCTCTTCTCACCCTTGCATTTCTCGCAACCCTCCCCCATTCTCTCCTATTTCTCTGCTCTTTCCCCCATCCTCCCCTCTCCCATTCTGCCTCTGCCCCAACCCAGCCACTCATCGCCGCCGCCCACAGTGCCGGGAGCAGAGGGGCCGCAGTGAGAGAGGATTCAGGAGGAGCGGTTACCACGAACGTGGAGGAGAGGCATGCACACAGGGGACGAGGGGGAGGTGGGGCGGGGAGAGCAGGAAGAACACAGGTGGGGAGGGGGGACACAGGGGGGTTGCTGGTGGGGACGGCGCCTCAGTGGCCGGTCGGCCGGAGGGCAAGCGAAGCAGAGGTGAGGGCACGACTGCAGGGAAGGATCAATAGTCTGCTTTGCAGTGTCGGCCCTGACAGGCAGGAGCATACCACCCGACAGATCAACGAGGTGGTTTACCAGCTCGCGATCCAAGACCCCACTGCAAAAGAGCTCTCCGTCTCTACCGTCTCCCTCGGTGGCCCCTCCCTCGCCTACTACCTCCATCTCGCTCCCCAGTGCTACCCGGACTTGCTACAGTGCGTCACCAGCCTTGACCTACGTAATCTCCAGCCCGTCTCGACACAGGCCGTGAGACAGCTTCTCCGCCTGCCCTCCCTCACAGCCCTTCACTTCCACGAAACTCCGATCCGTTCAGACGCCCTGCCGCTCTTCCAGTGCATGTCTCGGCTCCGGCGGCTTGTCATAGCATGTGCTAACCCCTCCGACGTTCTCAATCTATCTGCCAGGCGGCAAGCCAAATCACCCACTCCGTCTGATCCCATCAGCAAACCCCAGCCGTTTCAGAGCTTGAGGGAGCTACATGTGAGTCGGGTGACAGACTCTATTCTGCAGCAGGTGGGGGTGCTCACAAGCCTTGAGCTCCTTTCTTGCACGTACAGCAAGGAGGTGACTTGTAGGGGATGGATTCACCTAAGGGGAATGCTGAACCTGAAGAGGCTGCAGCTGGTACCAACAATCCTTATAAAAAAATTCGGATCCAATGACCACCACAGCGACTACTACCGCATGTGCACCCGCCTTGGGCTGAAGCTAAGCTTCCCCGAATACCGCCTGCCAAAGATCATCCAAACCTTCCAAAGGCCTCCCAAAAAAGGGGCTGCTGCCTCCGCAAGTGAAGACCCCAGCAACCGCATTGATGGGAGCATATGGGAGGTGGTGGGTGCCCTGCCAGGCCTGCAGCACCTGGAGCTGCACGCACCAGAGCCCAGCACCACAGCCCTGCGATCCCTCTCCACCATCACGCACCTCACAACCCTCCACATCACCGGCACAGCACTTGATGACTCTGACTTGTTGTGCTTGTTTGGGTTCTCAATGCTCACAGACGTCAGCCTGGCTGCCTGGACGTTCGCAGCAGACCATGCTGTGAGGACGGTGATTCAAGGCATGACGCACCTGAAATCGCTGGACCTGTCGGGAACGGCCATCAGCCAAGGCGCTGCGGTGCATCTGCAAGCGCTAGAGCGGCTGGAGCGGTTGAAGCTGCAGCAGTGCATCGGCATGAGCAAGCTGTTTGTGGAGCATCTGAGCCAGGTTCCTGCGCTGAGGGAGTTGGATCTTGGCTGCAACAACATGCAGCATGCTTGGCTGCTGCCGGTTCTGGAAGGGAAGAAGGTGACTCGGCTAGGGGTAAGGGGCTGTGGGTTTGTTGCAAGAACATTGAAAGGGCTTCAGCGTGATTGGATTGAGATTGACTTGAGATCAAATGAGTGACCATGGGAGGGATGAGTCGTACGGTATGAGTTATAGAGTGCTTTGGCAAGTGGTGCAAAACCATCCTGCATGTAATTGGGTTAGAATTGTGAAGTAAGACTGTGAGACCACCACGTTGAATGTGCAGCACACATACTGGTAGCTATGGTGTTTCATCAGATGTTAGTTAACAATAGCCGTTGGAATGGAATCTTCAGACCCTTCCATTTGAAAAATTGATCCACTCTTATCACACAAAACAAAACTATATGTATGTGAGCTCAGCAACAGGTAGTCATATGGTACTAGTGTTCCATATGAAAGCCCATGTGCTAAAACAGCAGCATTCCTGCTTGCCGATCGCACTTTAGCGGCAAGCCCCAATGCCCCATGCGAGTCACCCTTTAGTAGCCCACGGACGCCCAGCCATACTTCTGCAGCTCCACACGCAGTGCCTGCCGATGCGAGTGAGACATGGGAGAGGGATGGGAGGGGGGCAGGGAGAGATGGGAAAGGGGCGGTGAGAGATGGTGGAGAGGTAGGGAACAGAGAATGGTATTGGACGCTTGGGGTTGGAGAGGCAAGAACGAGTCGGGACCAATGAAGCCCGCCCTGTAGCAGCAGGTTGGCATCCAGGTCGCTCTCCCCCAGCCAGGGTGCACTGCGGTACTCCACCAGGGAGCAGCACAGAGGGAATCACAACTCCCTGACCTATCCACCCCATTCTCCCCACCCACAACCAGCCCCCCCATCTCTTCCCCCCCTCCTCCCCCTCACCATCGCACCTTGATGCGCTTGTGGTTAGAATCCGGTCGCTCTCCCCCAGCTGCAACGCACTCCACCAGGGAATGGCTGCCTGGGGGAAACCAGAACCGCCATCCAAGCCCACCCGTTCACTTCCAGGCAGCCCACGCATCCCCCATCCACCTCCCAACCACGACCAACCCCCTCCTCCTCCCTCCCATCCCCACACCACGCACCTTGATGCGCTTGCGGTTGGCATCCAGGTCACTCTCCCCCAGCCAGGAGAACCGGAATCCCAGCCTCAACCGTCCATTCACCTTCCATCACAACCCATCCAATCACCTTCCATCACAACCCATCCATTCACCTTCCATCACAACCCGTCCATTCACCTTCCATCACAACCCATCCATTCACCTTCCATCACAACCCATCCAGCGCGCCATGAGCAGCGCCGTCGTTGTCGTTGGCGTGTCAGCGGCATGGCAATCGGCGTGACAGCGGCGTGGCATCGGCGCCCCGAAGCAGAGCTAAACGGAAATCGCCATGTTTGGTGGCAGATTTTGGATGTGGAATGCCGCATTGCTGCTGGCTCCTGGAACGGCAGATGACGAGCTTGTGCTGGCTGCAGCGTGCCTGCCATGAACATGCACACGTCAGCAGGAACAAGGACAAGCAGAAATCGGAACAAACGGAGCTAAGAAGAGGGAATCTATGAAGAAAACGAAATTACTGGAAACAAGACTGAAGATAGCATGAGTAAGAAAGCGGGCTCACGAAATACTAATGCCATGGCCCATGGCGGACGGCGATCCAAAAGAGAGGCTGCGCTCTTGAGTAGAATGGCTTGAGATTGAAACGAGATCTGAAAAAAAAAAAAAAAGCAAACGAAATCACGAAAAACGAAACCACGATAGCGTGACTCCGACTAAGAAAGCAGGCTTACGAAATGGTGATGCCATGCCCAATGGCGGAGGGCGATCTAGAAGAGAGGCTCGGATGTTGAGTTGAGATAGAGTGGCGGATGATAAGAATCGAGGTCTGAAAAACGGGAGTGGGAGCTAGGTGAGCGATTGTGAGCCCAGCCCACTCACATCACGTTTCGTGCGCTTTCTGGCCTGCTTGGTCCCCCTGAACGAACGTGGGTGCCTTGGCGCTTGCTCGCTTGGGGAGGAGAAACCCAAACCAGCCCGATTCTGAAGGGGTAGCAAAAACGGTCCAAATAGCTCACTATACTCATCCTCCTATGGAGAGTGAATGCTACAAATGCGTGTAAAAATGAGAATGCGGGCAGGGGGGATCAGGAAGTTTCAGGTTCAACAAAAACGGAATGGGCAGTAGGGGGGTATGGGGTTGTGTTTGGCTGTATGTGCACTCCAGTGCCCTACTCTACGAGTCAGCCTTCTTCTTGTCCTGACATGGCCCGACACGGCGTCCAGGGTGCAAAGTGAATGTACCGAAGTAGCGTTCTGCACAGTGCTACGTCGGCAGCGCAGTGACAAAGTCGGAAAGCCGGTTTGGGTGCCTTGTGTATATGCAGTCCGACACTCCGATACAGCGAGCGCGACCCAAAGTGAATGTTCCAGCTTTTACAGTGACAAAGTCGCAGCGCGAATAAGTTTCGCTCGTCAGCTGTGCCCAAAACGAGAACAGCAATACAGTATCTTGCAAAACTACAGCTTTCCACATGGCAGTAAACAGAATTGATTTTGCTGATTTACAAGTTACACTTGTAAGTGGACAAATCTGTTTGTGTAATCTGGAGCTTATGCATGTAGGTCAACAAATCAATAACAAATTAGCTCTGGAATAATGAGCTAAATATTAAGGAACGTGCGCATCTGCATGCGTATATGCATGAATACTCGCATGTCTGGTACCTACCTGTTTCACCTAGACGCGCGTAGACATACGTATACATGCGTACGTATGCCTTCATGCACGTAGTGCGTCTACCTACCGTACACACTCGTACGCGACGCATATGTACATAACCGTACATGGGGGCTGTACATAACCATACATTCCCATATGTTGGTGTTGTGGGTTAGCATGGTGCTGTGGGTTAGCATGGTGCTGTGGGTTAGCATGGTGCTGTGGGTTAGCATGGTGCTGCGGGTCCCAGAAAGGTATGTGTGGGTACAGGGGAGGAAGAACAGTAGGCAAAAGGAAAATTTTGGGCAACTGTAAAAGTGTTTCGAGTAGACTGTTGGTGAATTGGTATGATGTCACACGCTGCATGGCCAAGAAGGGTATTTCGTTGAATCAGTCCAGTTCATGTAAGTAAGCCTATGAAAGAGGGAGAGGAAATGGGCTGACCTGCTTTGTTGGCATGGTGGGATTGCTGAGGTTACTACGGTGGGCGCGCTGACATCATGGTATGCTTGCCGACGCTTTGGTACCGCGGAGAGGAGGAGGCCAATTCACGGGTTGCCCTGCTGAATTGCCCTGTCGGACGCTTCCCGGGTTCCTGTCAGGGCAGGGTAGAATAAAAACCTTTGGGCAGGTGTAAGATAAACCGGGGGAGATGGGGTTTGCGGAGGATAAGAGGGGATTTGCTGTGAAGCACTCCCTTTAGGCGGAAGGCCAGGTGCTTCTGGTGGAGGGGAGATTCCCCGTGAAGCACCGCCTCTCTTAATCCCGCTCAACCCCTTTCAACCACTTTCTATTCCATTACTCAGTGTCAAGCACCCACAACACTCCCATCAGGTGGTGATCACGAGCAGCGAGAGGGTTGGCCAGATGGTGTGGTGGTGGGGGAGGAGAGTGGGCCTTGAGGCATCGCTTCTTTGGAATTCGCACATCCTACTTGAACGGCTTTCAACCACTCCCCATCAGGTGGTGATCACGAGCGTGGAGGTGGGTGGGCGGCTGGTTGTGGTGGAAGGGGGGTCTTTCATAGACAATGCCTCTCTGAAACCCGCTGCACTGTTCTCAACCACTTTCAACCGCTTTTAACCACTCCCACCAGGTTGTGATCACAAGAATGGAGGTGGATGGGCGGTTGCTGGTGGTGGGGTGGAGTGGAGTGGCCCTTGAGGCAACACCCTTTTTAAATCCATTCAACCATTTTTAACCGCTTTCAGCCACTCCCGTCAGGTCGTAATCACAAGCATGGAGGTGGATGGGCAGCTGGTGGTGGTGGGGAGTGACGCCAGCAGCCCTGCTTCAGAGGAGGTGGGTAAGGGGAGGCGGCATGGGGACTGTTGGATTTTGTTATTGATGTCTGTCTTGAGGCGACTTAAAACACACCTGGACTGTACATGCTGCTGCTGCTGGTGATGTGAGTGTCGCCGCCAGTAGCCCTGCGGCAGAGCAAGTGAGTGAGAGGCATGGGGAGCTGGTGGTTGGTGAGAGGAAGTGAGAGGAAGTGAGTGAGAGGAAGTGAGAGGGAGTGAGTGAGAGGAAGTGAGAGGAAGCGAGTGAGAGTAATTGAGAGGAAGTGAGTGAGAGGAGGTGAGAGGAAGTCAGTGAGAGGAAGTGAGAGGAAGTGAGATGAAGTGAGTGAGAGGAAGTGAGTGAGAGGAGGTGCGTGAGAGTAAGTGAGTGAGAGGAGGTGAGTAAGAGTAAGTGAGTGAGAGGAGGTGAGTGAGAGTAAGTGAGTGAGAGGAGGTGAGTGAGAGTAAGTGAGTGAGAGGAGGTGAGTGAGGAGGTGAGTGAGAGGAGGTGAGTGAGGATGAGGAGAGCTGGTCTGGTAATTGGGTTGTTTTTTGAGTCCACTCAGAGGGATGGCGCCAGCAGCCCTGCTGTAGAGCAGGTGAGAGAGAGCGGATGGGGCAGAGCAGGTGAGAGAGAGCGGATGGGGCAGGTTTCATACAACAGGTCGGCACATGAGGCATCCATGCCGTATTGGTCAGTGTTAGTAGGTTAGCAATGGGCCCCTTGTCTTGACCTTGAAGAGAAGATATCTGTTTTGCTGCCACCCTTCTCTGGTCGCTTCACCCCCCTGCGCCGGTCAATTATCCTGCCTAGCTGCAGTGAACTTGTGCCCGTTTTCTTTTCTTCTTTCTCGCTCTCTCTAGTTCTTTTCCTTTGTTATCTGTCACTCATTATCCCCTATGTTTGCACCTGCTCTTGCCACCCGTACATACACTACCCTGGCTCCCACTCTCCAATTCTCACTCTCTTGTCGACATCTTTACAAACATATTTCAGGAGGGCTCTGGGTCACATTCGTTGCAGCGGTTCTGCATAGCTGTGCCCAAGATACCCTAGTACTTCACTGTATGGCACTCCTTCTCACATTCTCCTTGTTGCACTCTCCTTCTCACACTCTC